GCCATCGTATCATTAATCCCTTCCAAAGTTACCATTAAAGTAGTTGATGTATTAACCTTAATTACTTCTAGTGCGAAAGTTACCAATATCCTCTGTGTATTATCTACTGTTGGAGTGGCTACTGTAACCTATTCTTCCTGAACTCCCTTGGTGACTGTGAAACTTCAACAGATTTCAAATCTTCCATCATAAGCGTTACTTTATGAATTACATAGCCTTTTAACCAATAATTCTTAACCGGAACAAATTTCTAATGCTTGCACTAGATAAGTATACTTCTTCTCCATAATTATCTCTCCATGTGGAAGAAACGTCCCCATCCTAACCCTAAAATTGGCACTGGAGCTATTGGTTCCCTTATAATCAAATGCGATATATTTATGGCTTTAATAACTATCAATGTTGAAAGAGTTAAATTGCTTCTCACTGTTGTTTTAATAGACTGAAGTGTCAATGTCCTTAGTTACTTCTAGTTTTCCCCAAAGAAAAGTTGTCTTTGCTTGTACTTCCATCTATCACCACTAGTGTCACTTTTTCCCCACTCTCAGTCCTTTCTCTAATCCCTGACTTTCAAACTTTTGATTATAAAAAATACACCTATAATTACCTTGATCTTCCTACTCTAAAGTGTCATTCACCATTGTTCTCTCTCTCTTACTACTAACTTTGAAACTTAGCTTACTGTCTTAGAGTTCCTTCAACCTAGTTCTCCTAACTTATTTTAATCTAATCGTTTCCTCCTAACCTTTAAACTTTTTCCACTGATTTATTCACAAAATCCCTTTACCACCAATTTTTAGAATATGTGATTGGGAAAGTCCCCACCTGTTTTTGACTTCTTTACACACAGACTTGGCAAACGACTAAACACCTTTTAGCCTAGCCTGAAATCTCTTAGTGTAAGAATGTAACCCAGAATAAACAGTCACCCCTTTTAACTTTTCAGACAGATTGTCTAATAGACAGTCGTCTAGTGTACATCTTATTGTACAATTCAATTTAAACAATGCATCTCTTCCCAACACTGCAATAACAGTATCTTCTAATATTAGTACCTTAAGAGTAATTAACTGTTTTACTACCTCAAATCCCTATCGTAATTAGTTATCAATTAGTGAGATGTTTAACCTCTTTAGGCTGAACCCAGATAAGTTTTTCCACTATTCACCATCACTTCTAATGGTCGGTTTTTACTTCAATTGTTAGCTATTTTCTCTTCTTCTCTAATCGATGCTCTCAGCTGACACCCCCCTTCCGGATCTTCTAGGCACTAACAGGTGATCTTCACTTGCTCCTTTATCTTCCTCTGTTGTTTTCTCCTGACGCATTTCCATCACAGGTAAAGTACCCAATCTGTCCACAATTATAACAGTCTTCTGAAAGTTGCTGGAAGTGTAGCTGAAATCTTCCTCCTCCTTCTATTTCTTCTCGTCCTCTTCCTCTCCAATTCTGTGTCTGTCCAGAAACTGGCTGTGGATATGGAACATCTGGTACCCCCCTTGGCTGGTACAATTGCATTTGATATTGTTCAGTTGAAGCTGTAACAGTGATTGTTGATTTGGTTCACTCTGATTCTTCATAACCAAAGCTTCTCTTCTCCACCAGTTGTATGATTGAGTTTTCTCAGAGTTTCTTCGTCCTGTTCTTTGTTGTTGACATATCAGGATTCTTCAACAGCTTATATTCTAAGTTCTGTCCTCAAAATATCATCTTCCATCATCTTCTTACTTTTCTTCAGCATCTTGGCCTCAATGTATTCTTCTTCTCCTCCAATTCTTGGGATTAAAAATGTTCTCAGCAGGTTTTCTCCTTGTCTCTTCAACGTCTCGAGCTGTTCCTCTAGCTCTCTTACCTCTCCCAAAGTCCTCGCTTCCTCCAGGCCTGATAAGCCTCGGTCTATATCTCCTTCTATTTCTTCTGTGCCAGTCCTTGTAGGACAAACTCCTCTTGAACATAAAGCACCTTTAATCTCCAAATCTTCATCGCTTTCTTCATCTTTGCTTTCATCAGAGATCAAATCTCTAGTATCCTTCTTCTTTCCTCTCTTGCCAACTTCCTTCTGATCACAGAGTCATATCCACCCATGACCTCTTCATCATTACTCTCATCTTCATCATCCTCGTCTTCTTTAACCTCACTCTTCTCTTCCAGACATCTCATTTTCTTCCTTCTGGAGTTTTGGATTCACCTTTATCGTCATTTCTGCTTGTCGTCTATCTATTATTCGTCTTCATCTCTGATGCAACAATCACCCTCCTGGATGATCACTGGAAGCTGAGGATAAACATCCCTAAGCTGTACTTTTTACTGAATCCGTATGTGAGAAAGGTGTACTAACTTCTGCCATTAGTTTTTCTAACACTACTTTAGTTAAAGGATTACTATTTTTTCCCCTATATCAACCCTTTTATATTCCTTTATTGTGAATTATTTTATTTTAGACTGTATAGCCTATGGCTTCCCCCCTGTAATTATTAATATAAACCTAACAACTCCTAAAAATCTTATTGTACAACTCAATTAAAAATCATGAATAATTAAAACCAATTTTTATTCCTATATCACCAATTTATCAATTAGTGTTGGCTATCTTACCACAACCCATCAAATGCAAGTAAATGTAAGTTAGTCAACTTCAAAGCAATCTTAAAAACAAAGCCTTCTAACCTTACAACCCTTTGATTTTTATCAATTCCATTGTTTAATATGCACCCAAGTATCTTAATTGCAGAATAATGTCAGTACCTGATTTCCAACCGAACTGTAATCCAGCCCAGTGATGCACAGAGACTCCAAAATGCAAATTTTATTCAAATAGTATTTGCCAAGCCTATGTAAAATTGTCATAACATCACATATTTTGTTAGGGATGATTTTGTGAACTAGCCTGATATCTGATCCGATCGTCTGCCGCGTCACGTGATGTCACGTCAGCACTTCCTGTATCTCCTCTCTCTCTCGTCTCGTTCCATGTTCCTCTCATATTTCAAAAAAACATAGAAACAGACAAGATTTCAGCAGTTAATGCAATCACTGAGTTATTTCAACCATATTCAATATTCATTCGTTCTACATTATTCACTCTAAGACTAAACTCAGAACTAAATAGATCGCTCAAAAACATTTTTATTTTATTTTAATCCGTCATTTAATTTAATTCATTATACTCCGTCAACATATCTCTCTCATTTATCAATTCAATAGGTCACAAAACAAGTTTCATCTTTAACCAAGCCCCGATGTAACAACTAGAAGATTCGTGTTAAAATCTCTTTGTCTGTGTGTTTCTCCGTCTCCCTGCAGGGTAACCCCAGATGGGACCTATGACCTTTACCCACAATGCAGTTTTGTAGTCTTAGCACATAACCTCATGTCGTAGTTTTAGCGCCGTAAAATCATGCACATGCGCACATCCATTCAAAAACACTTTTTCACCGTGGAAGTGAGATTCTCTACTCCCTCCTAGTCAAACAGACAGAATAACAGTCCCGCTTTACCTCCGTTTTCCCCTCATAGTCAAACAACATTTAACAGCGCTCACAAAACATATAACCTGACTTACATACACAGAGACAAATTTAAGAGACTTTAATCCATCGCAATGGGGTCTCTAAGGATATCCGTTAGCATGTAGCACGCAACACAATTAGCATTTAGCATTATCATTATCATTAGCCTTAGCCTTAGGTATACTGTGACACAAAACACATTTAGCATTTAGCATTAGCCTTAGCCTTTAGCTAACTGCGGCCTACCATACAAATAAATATCCTGCACTGCCCTTATTCCTTTTAAACATATTTATCCTACCGTTTTTGCTACCGTGGCTTAATGACCATTACACCGAGAAATTTGACCCAATCAAACCCCCCGTCGGACGAGAGTCGAATCATAATCACAATCAGATAAACCCCATTAAATCCGAGTTTTCCCTTAAAAAACCCACCGTCTGCCCATTCTATCGTGCAAACGGATTTGCCGGCCCAACATCTAAAATGGCCCCCCCCGGGGTCTTAAAGCGGTACAGTGCCCTAATGAATGCGCATATCCGTTTTAATTGTACACCTTCAATACTTAATTCCTACCGTTTTATGCTCTAAATTCCAATTATCTGCCGTTTCAATGGAATAACATTTTAGCAGACTCTAGTCATCAGCAATAACGCCACCCGAGGCAAGGTCGTAATGGTACATCTCTCCAGTGTACACAAGTCGTATCCAATCTAACAAACTCCGAAGCGGTAAGAAAAACTCACCCTTATCTGGCCATGCTTCAAAGCGAGTTAGCTTGGCGGCTACGAAACAAAGAAGAGGTGCAGACCAGCCCCACGTTGGGCGCCATTATGTCGTATCGGGTGAATGGTGGCCATTATTGCTGTCAACAAAGAGTCCGTTCAAGCTGCATCGTGTTAGAGGCTTTTATTAAAATCACGAGGTTACAGCATAAGTACAGACCCGCGGTGTCCGGAGAACGGCTCCTCAGATTGCCATGGCCGTTCTGCCCTTTCTGTAGTCTAGCCCCTATTTATAAACAATGATGCTCCCTCTTCTGGCCAATCACCAGTCTCCCCTGTCTACAACACACTTCCTGTCTGTTGTACGTGACGTTACACTAAAACATATACTAACATAAACAACATTCCATTTCTTCATGAAAAACATTTAACAAAGACATAATCTTCATATACGATAATGGCGCTTGCAATGCCAGGGTTGTGGGTTCGTTTCCCACGGGGGGCCAGTATGAAAATGTATGCACTCACTAACTGTAAGTCGCTCTGGATAAGAGTGTCTGCTAAATGACTAAAAAAATAAAATATAAAAAAAGAGAACGTTTATCAATGTTGTTCTGATGAGAACTGCATAACAGTCACCTTCCTGAGCCCAGGCTGCCCCAGGTAAGTGTGTCTTTCTGTGTTTGTTTGTGCTTGCCAGAGCTGAGTGTGGGTTAACTGCAGAAATACAGGTTGTGTGTGTTTGTATGCCAGATTACATGCAGTGATGCTCCTTGCTGTCATTCTGCACAAGTTTCCCATCACGCCCCACCGGAGGTGCTTGTTCTGCAGTGACAGCAGCATCAGCCTGTTCTATAAGAACAGTACGCTGCCCACCACTGTCCTGGTAGTTGTGGGGTTCACTGTGCCCATCACCTCTGTAAATCTTTAGCATGGTTCAGCAGCAGGAGGGAAAGGAAACGCATCCACGGGACTCTGATTCACTCCATCCAGAGATTCACTGAATGTGGCTATATGCCCAGGCCACCTCACAAATTTAGCAGTTGATTATCTACTTTCAATTGATTGTAACCATGAACCTAGAAGTGATATGGGATTAGCCTTGGTTTCAGTCTGTCTATAAACATTTTCCAAACATGTTGGCATAACAACCACAAAGGAGTTGTGGGAAAGCAGAAACAGACAGGCACCAAGGCTAGTATACAAACCCTATTGGTTCAAAACCTACTCGGCTCATCAATACTGAATTCAGACCTAAACCACTATTTCCTAGTAATTGGTTTTAGGTTGAGAACTATCTGAGTGGAGACAACAAGTCTGGAAAGATGGGAGTGAAAAGTGAGACCCCCATGTTCCCTGTCCGTCCATCGCTGTGCCATGTACCTGTGGACACTCCTTTTGGAGCCCCTTATTGATCCCCTCTCTCTCTCTTCTCTATCTCCCTCTCTCTTCTCTCTCTCTCTCTCTCTCTTCTCTATCTCTCTTTGTCTATCCCTCTCCTTCTCTTCTCTCTCTGCCTCACGACTGCTGTGTACATAGCCGGCCTGCCTTTCCTGATCATAGAGACTAGTGCTGTACAGCCCTACCGCCGAGGCTTTTACTGCAACGATGAGTCCATCAAGTACCCGGCAAAACACGGAGACACCATAAGCGATGCTGTGCTTTCTGCTGCTGGCATTCTTATCACCATCCTTTCTGTAAGTCACTATACCTCACTAATTAGCCTGAGTCCCAGATCAGTTTGTGCTGTCTTGCTAACTCATATGTACAGTTGAAGTCGGAAGTTTACATTCACTTAGGTTGGAGTCATTAAAACTTGTTTTTCAACCACTCCACAAATTTCTTGTTAACAAACTATAGTTTTGGCAAGTCGGTTAGGACATCTACTTTGTGCATGACACAAGTCATTTTTCCAACAATTGTTTACAGACAGATTATTTCACTTATAATTCACTGTATCACAATTCCAGTGGGTCAGAAGTTTACATACACTATGTTGACTGTGCCTTTAAACAGCTTGGAAAATTCCAGAAAATGATGTCATGGCTTTAGAAGCTTCTGATAGGCTAATTGACATCATTTGAGTCAATTGGAGGTGTACCTGTGGATGTATTTCAAGGCCTACCTTCAAACTCAGTGCCTCTTTGCTTGACATCATGGGAAAATCAAAAGAAATCAGCCAAGTCCTCAGAAAATAAATTGTAGACCTCCACAAGTCTGGTTCATCCTTGGGAGAAATTTCCAAACGCCTGAAGGTACCACGTTCATCTGTACAAACAATAGTACGCAAGTATAAACACCATGGGACCACGCAGCCGTCATACCGCTCAGGAAGGAGACGCGTTCTGTCTCCTAGAGATGAACGTACTTTGGTGCGAAAAGTGCAAATCAATCCCAGAACAACAGCAAAGGACCTTGTGAAGATGCTGGAGGAAACAGGTACAAAAGTATCTATATCCACAGTAAAACGAGTCCTATATCAACATAACCTGAAATGCTGCTCAGCAAGAAAGAAGCCACTGCTCCAAAACCGCCATAAAAAAGCCAGACTACGGTTTGCAACTGCACATGGGGACAAATATTGTACTTTTTTGAGAAATGTCCACTGGTCTGATGAAACAAAAATAGAACTGTTTGGCCATAATGACCATTGTTATGTTTGGAGGAAAAAGGGGGTACCTTGCAAGCCGAAGAACACCATCCCAACCGTGAAGCACAGGGGTGGCAGCATCATGCTGTGGGGGTGCTTTGCTGCAGGAGGGAGTGGTGCACTTCACAAAATAGATGGCATCATGAGGAAGGAAAATTATGTGGATATATTGAAGCAACATCTCAAGACAACATACAGGAAGTTAAAGCTTGCTCGCAAATGGGTCTTCCAAATGGACATTGACCCCAAGCATGCTTCCAAAGTTGTGGCAAAATGGCTTAAGGACAACAAAGTCAAGGTATTGGAGTGGCCATCACAAAACCCTGACCTCAATCCTATAGAAAATGTGTGGAAGAATGGACCAAAATTCACCCAGCTTATTGTGGGAAGCTTGTGGAAGGCTACCCGAAACGTTTGACCCAAGTTAAACAATTTAAAGGCAATGCTACCAAATACTAATTGAGTGTATGTAAACTTCTGACCCACTGGGAATGTGATGAAAGAAATAAAAACAGAAATAAATCATTCTCTCTACTATTATTCTGACATTTCACATTCTTAAAATAAAGTGGTGATCCTAACTGACCTAAGACAGGGAATTTTACTAGGATTAAATGTCAGGAATTGTGAAAAACTGAGTTTAAATGTATTTGGCTAAGGTATATGTAAACTTCCGACTTCAACTGTATATGAGTTGCCATAGGAGTTGGCAAGACAGCACAAACAGATTTGTGACTCAGTCTATGTTCACTTCACTTTCCACCTCACTGTTTCTGCAATGTGCAGCACCATCACCACTCACTGTACTGTGTGTCTACTAAATTATACCAAGGATCAAGTCACCTCCCACTGGGCACACCACATCATTTCAACATGGAAATGTGGGTAATATTTGGTTGAGACGTTGATCAATGAGATTTCAACCTTTATTCACCCACTCAAAAAGACAGCCAGAAGTTTATTGAATTTCCAATGTGTTATCACTATGCTTTTAACCATTTATAAAAGCACAACCAAATTCCAATGAAAAAAATGATGCCTGATTTTTGATTTCGTTGTCATCTAAATGTTTTATCACCGCGCTTTCAACCATTTAAAAGCACAACAAAGTTTAAATGGGAATACAATGTCAGGAATTTTGTAATTATACAACAACTGAATTTGTTATCACTGTGCTTCATCTAATAGCACAACCAAATGACCTGGATTGCAGTTGATATTCCATTAAAATAACATGCTGTTCGATACTCAGCACAGATTGTTATAGTAATTGTGAAGATCTCCACAGACCTGCGACCTTTGCATGCTGTCTTGATCATGCACGCTTTCTACTATTACATAAGAAAGGGATAGTTACAGTAACCCTCAAAATGTGGCAATGGATGTGTTACTCATTTTAAGGTTGAATAAATACTGTTACATTAGTTTGTAAGATTTACTGTACTACAAAAGTAATATTGAATTGTGTTGGGTTGACAATGCAGCCAAATCTCAACAGTTAAAGGAGCTGTATCTGAGCCACTGGCTTAATCCTATTCTTTAACTTTTATTTTTGGTTTAGTTGGAGCTGTGAATCCAACATGTCATTTGTTAACGTGTCGACAAGTTAATAAGCAATTTACTATATTGCAAAAGTGGTATTGAATTATGTTTGGTGTGCAACGCAACCAAATATCAACATTTGAAGGCGATGGATCTTTTGTGCCACTGACTTAGTCTGGCTTTAATTCCAGGTTGTCTACAAATTAATAATTGATATGTTGGCTTCACGTCTCCATCTCAACCAAAAATCTAAGTTAATGAATAGGACTAAATCAAATCAAATCAAACTTGAAATGCACTTTAAATAAAGTGATTTGATTTGATTTAGTTCTATTCTTTAACTTAGATTTTTGGTTAAGATGGAGACGTGAGTCCAATATATTAATTATTGACTTGACGATTACATTTGAAATCAACCAAAGCTTGAAACCCTAGGCCTATATGAATTGTTTATTTTTTGTTGAACCCTAGGTTGAACTGAAACAATAGCTGTTGATGACTTCGCAAATGCTATATAGGCCTAAATAGTAAGAGCTCTTAGGGTTGCATTCATTGGAGTGAAACGTTACAGGACTTTCAGATAGAAATAGATTATGTAGAACAGAAATGCTTCTCTGCCCTGTAGAATAGGTGATCATGCCTATTCAAGATGTTTCTTTCTGCAACGTTCTGTAAGGTTGCACCTCACTGAACAGACCCAGTCAGGGGTTGAGGTGATTGGGTTGGTTTGCATGGTGAGAAGGATCTCCCTGGACCTGTGTAATTATAGTTGACGTAATGGTTGTTCAATCAAACACTGTAATTCACAGGGCTGGAAATGTGGTGGATGGCACAGGAGAAGAGCAATAGGCCAATATTTATTCTTCTGAATGTGACACTAAATTCCATGTTCCCATAGACCAAGGGGCTTTTGGCTGGCATTTGTCTATTTTGAACTCTTGAAACACTCTTAGCATTAAATAATGTAAAACTTAGTTGCCCCTCAGATAAAGCGGAGAGAGAAGCTGCCTGGCATAAAAGCATAGAAGCTTTGTCCCTTGCGGAAAAATACATATCTGCAACAACAAAAAAACGACTCTGGGAGTGTTCAAGTTAACCTTTTATAAGTGTATAATTTGTGTGACGACTAGACGTTTATGAGACAAGCCACGAGACAACCTCTTCCCCCCTTTGAATATCTCTGAGGTTACAACTGTAACAGTTACACAAAGTTACTACAAAGCCGTTTCATTCATTCACATAGTTCATATATTCTCAGTTCTCACACAATGAGAACCAGATGTGTTCTTTTCCCTCCCATGAAGCAGCTGGGTTGGATCAACCAGGCTCTAAAGGGCTCCATGGTGGAGAGAGAGAAAGGAAAAAAGAAAAACATATATGTTATCAGCTTGTAAAATCTCCCAATAGGACTTTCCCCCAAACGTGTTTTTATCGAAATGAGATGTTTTTCGCATCGGACAGGAATTTCTCAATGAAACCGATATGCTAACAAGAAAACACCCAGACATCCCCTTGTGAAATCAGAGCCCTGCGAAAACGAGTGAGCCGGCGCGGTGGAAAACAAACGTGCCCCAATGTGTGTCTGCTCTGGCAGAGTCTGGCCACCAAAAAATCAGACATGTCGCCTAGCTCAGCGTTTCTCCTGGTTGAAACCAGAAGTGTTGCCCGCTCCCTCTTTCTCCCTCCCTTTCTCTCTCCCTTTTCATTCCCTCTATTTTCTCCCTCCTTTTCTCCCTTGCTCTTTTCCCCCCTCTCTTGCTCTCCCCCTCTCTCTTTGTCTCTCCCCATTGACTCCTTCTCTCCCTCCTCCCTCTCTCACTTACTTCTTCTCTGCCCCTCCGTCCCTCCCTCCCTCCTTCTCTCCCTCCTCTCCCTCTCTCTTTCTCCATCCCTCTCTTCACTCTCCCTCCCTCTTCTTCTCACTCCCTCCCTCTATAATTCTCAAGCTCTTTCTCTTTCTCTCCCCACTCACTCCCTCTCTCCCATTTATCAGTGGCCAGGAGGTAGACTAGAGGAGGGTGGGGAAGGGAAAAGCATTTGAGCTTGAGCAGCTGTAGTGAGTTATTGGAGTCCAGTCCACGTCCCCCGGCCCCAAGTATGTCCGGCACGTCAATCATCGGTTTTATACGTTTGTTTATTTACCCACTTACTGAAAACCTTTGCATGTGCCTTCCACAACTCACATACTCAGTCACCCTCACATAGCTACACTGAACGTAATGCATTTTGTTTTTTATGTTAATGGTGCAAACCAAGGGTTAGGCCTGGAGTGTTTTTGATTGACTTTTCCCTCCAAAATAGAGTCACATATTTGAAATTCTTTGATGCAATGATTTTTTCCCCTCAGCTCACACTATCGTTGTAATATTACACTCTGATTACTCCTAGTATTGTCGCTCTATACTCTCTGATTAGTCTCTGCAGTTTTACTGCTGTGTTTAACTGAATTCCAAATGTATATTGGAAAACCAGATGTCTGATACTCTATCATACTCTATCATTAAGGAAATAAATAAGCAGTTCATTTTTGTTTAAATAAGACATAATAACAACAATGAAACAATTCATTACTGATATTTACTCTGACAGTAATTAGGAACTGTATAACAGTAACAATTTGACTTCAGTGGCCATCCTTGTAGATGACATGACTGCTGACCCATATATACAGTACATATAGAGATGTGTATTTCTGGTTCTGCATGACTATATTCTCTCCTTTATCCCTCTTGCCAGATCATCATCTCTAAGAGATATAGTCATGTCATCTATAAAGATGGCCGCTGTAGACTCCGGGTCCACCAATCACCATTTGACTGCCACAGTGGCCATCTTTGTACTGTAGATGACATGACTGTATCCTCTCCTTGTTCCTTCCCCCATCAGATCATCATTGGTGAGAGCTACAGGATCTACTACCTGAACGAGGGCTCCAAGTCCTTCGTAGGGAACCCCTACATCTCCGCCCTCTATAAGCAGGTGGGCGTGTTCATCTTCGGCTGCGCGGTCAGCCAATCGTTCACAGACATTGCCAAGGTATCGGTGGGCCGCATGCGACCCCACTTCCTGGACGTGTGTAAGCCCGACTGGTCCACCATCAACTGTTCTTTGGGCTACATCACAGACTACCAGTGTAATGGGCACGAGAGCAAAGTCCAGGAGGCCAGGTACATTACTCTGAGATTACTCCATTGTGATTGTGAAGCATCTATGTAATGTTTATGAAGATTTTATGAATGCTCTATAAAGAAACGTAGCCTATAAGTTATGTTTAGTTTAAAGTGGTACCGGATATTTGATTTCATACAAAGTGAATGCTTAGTTCAATATCCAGGAGAAAGGCATTACATTGGTCTTACCTGTGCATTAATCTTGTAATTACTATAGTAACAACATTGTATTTCTCCTTTTCAGGAAGTCGTTCTTCTCTGGCCATGCGTCCTTTTCCATGTACACCATGCTGTATTTAGTGGTGAGTTACTGTTATGTGTCTTAACCTCACACACACACACACACACACATAACCCCCCCCCCCACAAACGCACACACATATACACACACACACACACACTAGCAGTCGCCCTGTGTTGATTCATTACCCAACTCTCCCGTTCTCCCAGTTCTACCTGCAGTCCAGGTTCACCTGGCATGGAGCCCGTCTTCTGCGCCCCCTGACCCAGTTCACCCTTATCATGATGTCCTTCTACACCGGCCTGTCCCGCGTCTCCGACCACAAGCACCACCCCACTGACGTCCTGGGTGGCTTCGCACAGGGAGCCCTGGTGGCCTACAGCATAGTGAGTACTTGGACTTAGTATTTACTATGAGCCCCCACAACTGCATAGTACTGTACTGCATATAATTCATAGTATGTACTATAGCTTACTACATAGGATGATATAGTACCGCATATACAACATGGTATAGTACTACATGCATAATGAAGTTATGCAGTCTGTATCATTAACATGTCTGACCTGCTTTTACTATATCATTTATTATTGACAATATATACTTTTTTTCTTCTTCTTTCCTATCCCTCAGGTGTTTTTCGTTTCTGACCTGTTCAAGCCCAAAGGCAGAAGTTCAGCTCTACCAGCGACCCCAGTAAAGAACCCCAACAACCCCACGGCAGACATCAGAGAGCGGAGCAACCACCTCACCATGGCATAGTAGAGACCACTAGTGTACAGCTACCTTCCGCTCTAGGTTTTAAAGATCCCTTATTTCACCTACTGGTCTATACTGGATATGTTAAACAACCAGCGAAAGCAGCAGGACTGACAACTGACATGTCTACAAGGCACTGAGAAATAATGAACTATGGAGAACTCGCTTTGGAAAGAAGAGGAGAGTTGGAAGCATTCAGACACACACACACACACAAACAACACACACACGCCGTTTGAACAGCCAGCAACACCCATGTTTCTCACCATCTCATCTGACATGTGCATGTGGAAGAGTGTAGGGAGAGAATTCCTATTTTGCTTTAATTACCCAAGGTCTCTATATCAAACCTGGTGCTTTGCAGATTAACTTTATCTGGATCTGCAGACAAGGTCGTTTCACAGACAGAAGGAAGGAGAGAAGGAAAGGAACAGCCGTGGAACGTGATAATGTCTGCTTGGCTTCGGGCACCATGGAGACTGGCTAATAATACCATCACACACATACTGTGTGCCTACGAGACACAAACTCATGAACAGAAACAAATTCCTTGATTACAGGAAGGATGTTTTTTATTTGATAAATAACTTTCATTATAAGTTTGAGCTATAGCACTATATCCAAACTCAATATTTGATTTAATTGTCACCACTTGAATGAACTGAAGTGAAGCTTTTCTGTAAAGCTTTGTATTAAAACCAGCTTTTAGGTCTCCTGAATTGTAGTTTGTATAGAAATATATGCACTGTAGCTAAAGGAGTTGCCATATTATATACAGTAGATGGAGACTACAGAGAGGGATGTGGGCCTTTCTGCTGGTTGGGACGAGCCCCCACTGAGCCCTGTAATGAAGTGACTGTGTGTGTGCCAGACGACTGCTCACAAGTATTAGGCCAGAGTATTAGGCAAGAGTATTAGGCCAGAGTGTGTGTGTATGTATGTGTCTGTCAGTGTGCCAGTATCTGAATGTCATGTCTATACTGTATTTGTGCGTGTGTGTGTTCATAAATGCTTTAGGTTAAAGACCGGGAACATAAGGCTGCTTCAACAGACATTTATATTAAAAACAGGAAAACTGTGGAATTATACTTTCATAGACTGTAGCTTTGTGATACATTTTCTAGTGATTCACATAAACTGTACCAACTGCAGAAAAAAAAACTTCCCTGTGACAATATAGTATGCTCTGTCCTGCCATGTCATTGCAACCAAACAGCAATATATTTTTTATTTTTGTAATGTAAAGAAACATTTTGTATCAGAGAATTATGTACAATATCATTTATCTACATTTTCATGAAATATCCACTATGAATTGTGATGTGTCGATACCTGTGTAATTGTGTAAGTGCTGCTTCAACAAGCAATGATTGACAAAAGTCATTCAGTGAAACGACAACTTGGGTTGTGAGTATTCAAACATTTGTTAAATAGCTTTTCAAGAAGACAGCTTCAGTACATTTTTATTAAAATACCTTTAAATATTTTTGTATTGTCCCTTTTTTTTGTAAATTGTACAATGAAAATATAAGCCATATACTGTAAATGTATTATAGATTATGTGCTTTGTAATAATAAAAACTCATTATTTTAAGAGTTTTTGTGCTTCTTTTTTGTGTCCTTCCTCACTTGGACTGAGACAAAGCTATACAATAAAATAATTACAGGACAGTTGATAGTGAAGCTGAGCAGCTCTCTCTCTCTGACTTTACGTGCGAAGGTGAGATCTGGGCGTAGGTTCTAAACTCTATGGTAGAGTTCCGTTCCGTGCTTCACTTCCTGAAGGTGAAATAGTGTGCATTCCAGGTTTTAACCCATGTCCCCAATGGCACATTGGAATAATATAGAACATGCCTGGTGAGTGTGCCACAGTGGCAAATTAGTACATTCCCATATGAGAATGTGACTCTTGGAAGACTAGAGCCCTTTGGTGGGCTGATAGAGATCCATGTTACAACTACAATTCCTATTAATTGAAAAAAATTCATCATCTGTAGATTGTTCTATATGCTAGTATTCAATCTTTCAAGAATCCATACTCAAATGAGAAACAGGTTCAGGTGTTTCTGGTCATAGGTTCGGAGTGGCTGAAAAATCACAACATTCACCAGGTTTTGTGCTAAATGTCCTGGTACTGGGTAAAATTCATGATGCCGTTGACCTTAACAAGGGACCCAGGACCAGAGGAAGCAAAATATCCCCATAATATCAAAGATCCACCACCACATTTTACAGTAGGTATGGGGTTCTTTTGTGATTATGCATTCTAATTTCGACACCAAACCCATCACTGGTGTGCATGGCCAAAGAGCTCTATTTTCATTTCATCTGACCAATGCACCGGTTCCAATCCAAGTGCCAATGCAATTTAGCAAACTCCAGGCATAAACATTTGTTGAATGACATGAACATAGAGCAGTCATTTTTGCTCATCTTTATCAAGGGTGACAATTTCGGACCCCACTGTATGTTAAATGGATTAATAATGTACAGTTTGTTCCAAAAGTACTGCGACAGTGAGTGAAATGATACAATGACTATAAGGTTGAAGTGAAGACTGTCAGATTTCATTTGAGGGTATTTCCATCCATATCGGGTGAACCGTTTAGAAATTACAGCACTTTGTGTACATAGTCCCCCAATTTTGTATTTTTTACTTATCTACCAATAGGTGCCCTTCTCCCTGGTCTTTGTGGTTGAATCTGTATTTGAAATTCACTGCTCAACTGAGGGACCATACAAATAATTGTATATGTGGGGTAGAGTGATGAGGTAGCCATTCAAAAATCATGTTAAACACTATTATTGCACACAGAGTGAGTCCATGCAACATACAGTGTATTCGAAAAGTATTCAGACCCCTTGACTTTTTCCACATTTTGTTACGTTACAGCCTTATTATAAATTGGATTAAATAGTTTTTTCCCCCCCCATCAATCTACACAAAATACCCCATAAAGACAAAGCAAAAACAGGCTTCTTGAAATGTTTGAAAAAAATAATAATAAAAAAACCGGAAATATCACATTTACATAAGTACTCAGACCCTACTCAGTACTTTATTGAAGCACCTTTGGCAGCGATTACAGCCTCAAATCTTCATGGGTATGACGCTACAAGCTTGGCACACCTGTATTTGGGGAGTTTCTCCTATTCGTCTCTGCAGATCCTCTCAAGCTCTGTCAGGTTGGATGGGGAGTGTCGCTGCACAGCTATTTTCAGGTCTCTCCAGAGATGTTCGATCGGGTTCAAGTCCGGGCTCTGGTTGGGCCACTCAAGGACATTCAGAGACTTGTCCCGAAGCCACTCCTGCGTTGTCTTGCCTGTGTGCTTAGGGTTGTTGTCCTGTTGGAAGGTGAACCTTCGCTCCAGTCTGAGGTCCTGAGTGCTCTGGAGCAGGTTTTCATCAAGGATCTCTCTGTACTTTGCTCCGTTCATCTTTCCCTCAATCCTGACTAGTCTCCCAGTCCCTGCCGCTGAAAAACATCCCCACAGAATGATGCTGCCACCACCATGCTTCACCGTAGGGATGGTGCCAGGATTCCTCCAGACGTGATGCTTGGCATTCAGGCCAAAGAGCTAAATCTTGGTTTCATCAGACCAGATAATCTTGTTTCTCATGGTCTGAGAGTCCTTTAGGTGCCTTTTGGCAAACTCCAAGCGGGCTGTCGTGTGCCTTTTACTGAGGAGTGGATTCCGTCTGGCCACCCAACCATAAAGGCCTGATTGGTGGAGTGCTGCAGAGATGGTTGTCCTTCTGGAAGGTTCTCCCATCTCCACAGAGGAACTCTGGAGCTCTGTCAGAGTGACCATCGGGTTCTTGGTCACCTCCCTGACAAAGGCCCTTCTCCCCTGATTGCTCAGTTTGGCCTGGCGCCTAGCTCTAGGAAGAGTCTTGGTGGTTCCAAACTTCTTCCATTTAAGAATGATGGAGGACACAAACATTCATTTAATCCATTTTAAAATAAGGCTGTAATGTAACAAAATGTGGAAAAAGTCAAGGGGTCGGAATACACTGTTTTATGTGACATGTTAAACACATTTTTACCTCTGAACTTATTTAGGCTTGCCATAACAAAGGGGTTGAATACGTATTGACTCAAGACATTTCAGCTTTCCATTTTTTATTCATTTGTAAAATTTCTAAAAATTCCACTTTGATATTATGGGGTATTTATTGTGTGTTGGCCAGTGACACATAATCTCAATTTAATTAATTTCAAATTCAGGCTGTAACACAACAAAATGTGGAAAAAGTCAAGGGGTGTGAATACTTTCTGAAGGCACTGTAAAACAAATAATATATACAGTACCAGTCAAAGGTTTGGACACACCTACTCATTCAAGGGTTCTTCTTTATTTTTACTATTTTCTACATTGTAGAATAATAGTGAAGACATCAAAACTATGAAATACCACATATGGAATCATGTAGTAACCAAGTAAGTGTTAAACAAATCAAAATATATTTTAGATTTGAGATTCTTCAAATAGCCACCCTTTGCCTTTATGACAGCTTTGCACACTCTTGGCATTCTCTCAACCAGCTTGACTCTGAAAAACACCAAAAGAAAGATGCCCAGGGTCCCTGCTCATCTGCGTGAACGTGCCTTAGGCATGCTGCAAGGAGGCATGAGGACTGCAGATGTGGCCAGGGCAATAAATTGCAATGTCCGTACTGTGAGACGCTTAAGACAGCTGATCGTCCTCGCAGTGGCAGACCACGTGTAACAACACCTGCACAGGATCGGTACATCCAAACATCACACCTGCAGGACAGGTACAGAATGGCAACAACAACTGCCTGAGTTACACCAGGAACGCACAATCCCTCCATCAGTGCTCAGACTGTCCGCAATAGGCTGAGAGAGGCTGGACTGAGGGCTTGTAGGCCTGTTGTAAGGCAGGTCCTCACCAGACATCACCGGCAACAACGTCGCCTATGGGCACAAACCCACCGTTGCTGGACCAGACAGGACTGGCAAAAAGTGCTCTTCACTGAC